GCTGGACTGACTTCAGATCTTAACATTCTTCTGCAGGAAACATCCCTGCGTCTGTGGAGGATCCTTGGCCTCATACTTCTCGCTGAGCCTGCTCCTCTGCTCACTCTCAAAGCCACCCGCCAGGCACCCAGTCCGCAGTCTGTGCTTGGATAGGAAGGCAGTGGTTCTGTGGCAGAATTACTTGTGGGCCTTTCCCATACAGGACAGACTTCCTGGATCCTGGCTCCAGGCCTCCTCTAGATGGTCAGCTCCTTCCTCCTTGAGGAATGCTCCTTCCCACTTCCTACCTTATAGACCTCGTTTTCCCTCCTTTCTCCTTCTCCCCTCGCAGCTCTCCATCTTCCCTGTCTAGGCTCAGGCCAGTAGTCCCCAGGGCAGGTTTTAGCCACTGCTGGTCTCGGGGTCAAATTACAGACTTACCCACCAGGACACCCTGCATACTCACCACTGATTGCTTGGTCCTTTAACTGCTTGCATATGAGTTTCCACAACACCTACCGGGCACAGTTTGCTAACTTGTAGGGAGCTCACACCACTGCCTTTTTTACTTCCTTGGGTTCCTTTTTTTTTTAATATATTTTATTGATTTTTTTACAGAGAGGAAGGGAGAGAGATAGAGAGTTAGAAACATCGATATGAGAGAAACATCGATCAGCTGCCTCCTGCACATCTCCTACTGGGGATGTGCCCGCAACCTAGGTACATGCCCTTGACCGGAATCGAACCTGGGACCTTTCAGTCCTCAAGCCGACGCTCTATCCACTGAGCCAAACCGGCTTCGGCTTCCTTGGGTTCCTTTGCAGCCATGCTGCACCTGCTGTCATCTTAGTGACTTAAAGTGTTCATTTTCCTGTATAAAAACGGGCACTTGGTCTTCTGAATATAAACGTAATGTATGGACACTTCTTAATGTTATTGTACATCGGGGGCCCCCCGTACTGTCTGAATGAGTTCCCTGTCTCAGTCCCCTCCTTGGCTGTAACCACTTTGCCTGTGACAGTCATAGCCAGCATTGCTACCCACCTACAGCGCCAGGAAAATCCCAGCACTGGAGCCAGGCTTGGGCCGCCACACTCCTCCTGCTAATTATCCTGCTATCCAGCATGTGTCCTGGGAGTCTCCATGGCCTCCAGAGTGTAACTCTCCCCACTAGTGTTGGTTGGATCTCTTATGATGGGGCCTCTTTCTGCCTTAGTCCTGGGGCTTCACATTCCTGCTCCCAGCTTAGCTGGGTGCCAGGACCCATAGAGCCATGGTGTGGGTGAACCGAGGCTCCACCTGCCATTTCATGTCTCCCCAGAGTGCCCAGACCACATGAGTCTGTTTTGCCCTTAGCCACTGCTGTAGGCCTGTCATCCTTGGGTTCCACCAGGCCCAGCCTCTACAACCTGGTGCTGGCTCCGGGGCCCCAGCCCAGCTTCTCCCCAGGCCAGTGACAAAGTTCCGAGTATGCATGTCCTGAGCCAGCTGGATGGGCTGGCCTGTGGAGGCCTTGCTGTCCTGATGGCCTACCCTGCAGTCTCCACCCCTGAACTCCCCCCTGACTCAGAGGATGGCCATATCCAGCCAGAGGGGTTCCTCTTCCCACTGCTACCGGCCAGTGGCCAGGGCAGATTTGTCCATCAGCCCCACACACATCCAGCTCCTTCTCTTACTCTTGCCACAAATTAACTTTTCTTTTTATTCCCCAAAGATCCAGTGAAAACTTCTCTGATGATAATGGTAGCAAATACTTCCTGAACTACTATGTGCGTTGAGTACTGTTCAAGCACCTTACATGAATTGCCTCACATCATCCTCACATCCTTGGGAATATGAAACATGATCTTTGTTCTACAAAGATAGGATTAAGGAATATGGCACGTGAGCGACAAGCTGAGGCACCTGGGTGCAGGCCCCACTCCATGTGACCACACTTTTCAGGAGCCACAATTTCAGATTTCTAGGCACTTGGGCTTCCAACTGCTTGCCCAGCTTTGACTCTTATGTTTCTAGAATCTTCTTGCCATTTGTCTCCTTATTCTGGTCATAAGCCCTGTGTCTTCTCTCCTGAGCCTTGCTATCTTCTCGGTTGCCTTCAGCCTGCCGGCAGAGTGAAAGCTAAGGACTGCAGATTTGCAGGGACTCTGCAAAGAGCATAATCCAGGTGCGTGTCATTGAGAGTTGACTGAAAATCTAACTAGGGTCTTCTTTAAGGCCCACTTTCTGAGTCTTCTGCCCCATTTCTGGGCCCATCTTGTCAGTTCTACTCTGTAGCTACCACTCCTGACTCCAGTCACAACTAAAAGATGCATCCTGACCCTCCCTCCCAGCCTTCTCTGCAGCCAGAGGTCACGTGGAATCTCTGCACCCATTATTACAGCTGCCCGAGAGCCAGCTTCTGCTTCAGCAAGTGCTGCAGGGGTTTGCCAGCAGAGTCACCTTCTGCGGATGGGTGAGCGGCCTTCTAAGAGCCAGCCAGCTGCCTGACAGCCTCAGCCTCCCCCGACTCAGCCCACACCCAGCAGCTGGGTTACAAAGAAGGGGAACTTGCTATTTAGAAGAGAGTCAGAAAGAGCTGTCAGCAGGACATAAATATTCATAGAGGGAGGTTAGAACTTGAGTCCCTAAAACCTTGATTTGTGTTAGTCTGTTTAAGCCTCATTAAAAAGTAGTAAATGAAAGTGGGGATATTCAGTGGAACTGCAGAGAAATTGGGCTTGTTCAGATAAAGGCCTCCGACTGCCAGCTCCACAGGCCCTGCCCGGAGCACAGCAGCAGATTGGCTTGGCCACTTGCAGCTTGCCAACCTCAATTTAAAGATTTTGCTTAGCATGAGTTCCTGGCCTTGCTCCGGGCCAGTTAGCGCTTGTTTGGACACCTGATAGCCTTCTAGAAGTGTTTAGGGATGGAAATCCCCAAACTTTCCCTTCCCAGAATGACATGCAAACCACGGCCTGGCCCAAGGGGTGGCAGGGAGAAATCTAACCAAGGACTAATACTGCACTAGGTGATCCACAAAGGCCATATCTATGTGCATGACAGTTGCTTCTCCTAACTTCTCCTAGCTTCTTTGGGCACAAGTGGAGGCTTTCAGTGACCATTGTTACATGAGGCCTAAATCCATCCCAGCTCCTGGGCCCCAGCCATGCCCAACCCTACTCCATGGCTACAAAGACTGCAGTGGGCCAGGCCTGTGGTCACAAAGGAGACAAATGGCCAACATGCTTCTAGGACAGGAGCTACAAAGTCAGCCCTAGGGGCCAAGCAGGCACATAAATGAGTGCAATGGGTCCATCCGGGCCAGACTTGAACCCCAAACTCCAAGTTTACACCCTCTGCCCTTGGGGCTCCCAGCATTTGGGAAGATGAGGTTTGTACACACGAAGTTGGAATGACAGTACATGCTCAGCCTCGCTGGGGGCAGGAGGCAGTACCCCTCCAGCAGAGGCCTCATGGAGGAGGTAGAGCTTCAAGAATTAAGCTTTGTGTAGGACCCAGCATGGAATTTGGTGTTCTGATTGGGGTTTCTACACCATGGAATGGAAACAGCAAATCTCAGGGTCCTGAGGGGCTGGGCTCTGTGTGTTGCGGGTGCTGCTATCAAGACCGGGCCTCATGGCTGCCTGAAGTACCTGCTTTCCCCAGCTCCAGCTCTGGTTCCACTGACCATCGGGATCAGCCGTGGCTGTTCCTGGAGCCTGGCTCCCCAGAGCTCATCTCCCTACAGCGCCTATTCTAGGATGGCCTTTGGCCTCCCCAGGCACAGGCCCTGTCTCCTGGTTGGGGCTGTTTCCCAGGACAACCGTCCCTTTGGTGCCCATTAGCAGAGAAATGACACAATTAACCAGGCAATTAACTCAACGCGATGCAGTTGCTCCCTCCCACAGGACCCTGTTTCCGGAGGCAGAGTTGGCAGCAGGCTGGGCTGCAGGAAAGGGGATAGATGGTGCATCGTCTGTGCCAGGCACTGGGATGAGGGAAATGGCTGACCCAGGATGGGTGCTGGCCAGGGAGAGGGGCAGAAGGCCTAGGGACTTAAGTGCAACTCCGACACTGGCCTGACCACAGGCCTGGGACTTGGATTCGAACTTGGGATCATTGGTCCCACCTCTTCAGGGGCCACTCTAAAAGGGACTGGAGCAGGGAATTGACTAAGACCGCTAAGAGGGGAGGGGTGTTTCACTCTGACTCCTCAGAGAATTCTGTTTGGGGACCCTTTCTCCCATTTGTGAAATAGAGGTCATAGTTGCTATCCTTTCCAGGGACGTGGTGAGAATGAGTTAAGTCAGATGGAAAATTGAGCATTACCGGGCCCTCTGAACCTTCCCATCTAGGCTCCTGTCAGCAGGGCAGTGGTTCAAGAAGAGCAAGCCAGTCCCAGGCCCAGAGAGGTGGCCATTTAGACAGACATCTGGGGACAGATGGACACAGATGAACTTTCAAGGCCAAATGCATGATACCAGGACCCAGGGTTTATTTGATCAAGTGTACATCTCTGAAATTATAACCAAAACAAATAGGAAAACTGATAACTTTGGCAACCAACCTTCAGAAGCAATTTTGCCCCACAGGTTACAGCTACCTTGATGATGGGCAATACTTTGCCTCAAGAACCCAATAAGAAAGAAATAGAAGTTTTTGAGCTGCATTTTTTTACACTCAATACTTTGTATTGGTTCTCATGGTAAAATATATATATTCTTACAACTTAGACTAGTTTAACATCAGTGGGAAAATACCTCTGGTTCTGCCCCTCAGTTTCTACCACCCACCCCTCACGTGCGTGGGGTGCTTTGGAGAGGCCAAGCCTTCCCAGAGCATCTCGTTTCATTCCAAAATACCCTTGCGTGGCTGGCGTCTGCCATGTTCAGGGCGGCTGTGAGACCCTGAGCAACACCCCCGGCCATTTCCAGTGGGGCTCAGGCTGTACCACATGGAGGCCGAGGACAGCATAATAGAAATGTTAGGGATGACAGGGCTTCCTCCTCCCCATCCCAGAACCCTGCCTATTTTGGAAGGTGGAAGGCTCTGCTGCCCTCTCCAGCGGCTGGTGTGCTGTGTTTCAGATCGATGGGCTGGAGGAGAAGCTGTTGCAATGTCGGAGGGACCTGGAGGCAGTGAACTCCAGGCTCTATGGGGCGGAGCTGAGCCCAGAGGCCAGGTAATGCTCCTGCCCCACCTCCCACCCTTCTTCAGCCCCTCATATCTAACCTGGGCCCCTCCACCTGCCACAGAGACCTTAGCCCTTGTCCAACTTGCCCTGGAATGCCAGCTGCCCCTTGGGTGGGAAGGAAAAGGCTTGAGCCACAAAACTCCTCCCCCCTCACAGGAAGTCTCTGGAGAAGGAGAAAAACAGCCTGATGAACAAAGCCTCCAACTATGGTAAGAAAGTTCCCTTTCGTTACCAGCCCCACCCTCCAGTCCCAGGGTCAGGAGGGACAGATGGCCCAGGGAGCCCACGAGGTGACAGGGATCCAGGGGCTCTTCAGGAGGGGTCAGCCCCCAGGCGGCTATAGGAACCCACTATCAGCCCAGCAGCCTGGAAGAAGAGCAGGTCTGTTCCTTTGTTCCAAGGGAGATCGAGAGGCCTGTGGGTCTGTTCTTCCTGGGACGAAGGTATGACAGTAGCCAGGCCCAGAAAAGATTCTCACATCCACCCAGACTTGGGAGGGCTGTTTTCCCTGTCCCCCGCCACCCCCTCCCCCCACCCCCACCCCCCAGGAAAACCCTGTGATGGGAGTCGGGGCCTTGGGGACCTTGAAGGAGGATGCACTTGGGTGCCCTGAAGGGCTACTGGAGTGGAGCAATGCTGCCACCTTCTGGGTGCTGGGGGCACAGCCGGGTAGAACCCTGGCAGGGCACTGAGCTAGAGGGAGGGCAGCTGCTGGGCCCACCACCACCCCTTCCGCCCTCCTGCCCCCGCCTGCTGATCCACAGAGGCTCATCCAACTTGTCTGTTCTGTTCTCCCTGAGGGGCCAAACCTGGCCTAGAACCAGCCCAGAACAGTCCACATGGCAGGGAACCTTCCAAAGGGACCGATTTTGAAGAAACACTCAGTGTGTGCAGTGCATGTGCACACACCCCTGCCTGAGCCTGGGCTCAGTCTGGCCTGCCCAGAGCTGGTCTGCAGGGTCTCCCTGCTCCCGCTCACAGGCAGAGGCGGGACATCAGTGCCCCCCACCCTAGCAATTTTCACACAAAATCACAGCATCCCCACTGAGACGGTGTGGCTGCAGAGGACTGGCTTCTGCCAGAGGTGAGCCCGACTACCTCACGGCACAAACCGCCTCCTCTTAGTGTCCCTCATTTGTTGGCTGGGCGTCCAGCAGAGGGCACGGAGCCCACCCAGTGACAAGTGGAGGGACTCACCTGGTGACGCCATGCCACCACATAGCTTGGCTTTCACATGTGGCCTTTTGGTGACCCCTCACACATTCCATCCTCAACTTCAACTGCATTTGAAGAGAAATGGTTGAGTAGCATTGTGTTGGGACTTTTGGAGGCTGGGTGGGATCTGTAGCCAAAAGGTTGTGACGATCAAGGACAGAGTCCTTTTCATGGATAAGGAAGTGGCTGGCAGGGAACAGCTTGGCCCTCAGCAGTGTGTGTACCCACTTGTGGGAGAGGCAGAGGCAGCTGAGAATAGCAGATGGGCCTAAACTACCTGTCCAACACCATTTCCTCCCAGAGAAGGAGCTCAAGTTGCTTCGGCAGGAGAACCGGAAGAACATGCTACTCTCCGTGGCCATCTTCATCCTCCTGAGCCTCATCTACGCCTACTGGCCTATGTGAGCCTGCGATTTCTCCAGTCAACAGCCCAGTCAAGCCAAGCAGGCCCTTTAGGACTCAAGAGGACCAAGGTACAAGGGGCATTTCTACCCCACCAGACACTGAGCAGAGCTTCCTGTTGGCTCAGCCGCTCCTGCCTCTGCTCCTGGTCTCCAGGACTGTGCCGGCTCCTCCCTTAGCCCAAGGGAGAGGCAATAAAGAACACCCAGGCGGCTGTGTGCTGAGTAAATGTCACGTCTGACTGCAGCTGGGGGTGCGGGGGAGGGGGGCGGCGGCACTCAGGAACCAAGGAAGAGATGTTCAAGGGAAAGCTCTTGGCTTAGAACTCAGAAGGGGGGGTGTGAATGTGAGCCCTCAACTTAAGTAGGGAATAAAGACAGCGGGAAGCACTCCCCAAGCCTGAACTACACTGAGAGCCATTTCCAGGGCTTGGGCATCATGCCACGTGCCCACCACCCACACCAAACACGTTGTCATGCCCTGCCTGCAACTATGCCAGGAAAAGGTAGTCTGTGCAGCGAAGGGCAACTGGGGACTTGAAGTGGTCGCTTGGCAGTCCTACGGAGGCAAGGAGTTAATCCGTCTTGAAGAGGCAGCCAGGCTGGCGAGGTCTGGCGGAGTGAGTGGGCTACAAGAGCCATGGTAATGACCAGACTGACTTATGGTGACAGTGGGCAGTAAATCAGGCGGGGTCTGCTGGGAGAAGCGGTAGAGGTGGGGCCGACAGGATGGGGAGGCAGGAGCCGCAAACACAGACATCACACGCTGCCTCTGAGCACATCCCCCAACCCGAGTCCCAGCACAGGGCCCAGGATGCCGTGTGGGAGGCTGGAGCAAGGTAGACAGAACAGGGCAACCAAAAGGGTGAAGGGCTTAGGAGCTGAGATCACCCCAATTAGATAAGTAAAACATGGAAAGGAGCTGAGGCCAGGGAGAAGGAGCCAGGTAAAGTGCAGGCAGGCTCTAGAGCAGCGGTTCTCAACCTGTGGGTTGCGACCCCTTTGGCGGTTGAACGACCCTTTCACAGGGGTCGCCTAAGACCATCCTGCATATCAGATATTTACATTACGATTCATAACAGTAGCAACATTACAGTTATGAAGTAGCAACGAAAATAATTTTATGGTTGGGTAACAACATGAGGAACTGTATTTAAAGGGCCAGAAGGCTGAGAACCACTGCTCTAGAGGAAACCAGCAGTGATGGGACTGGGGAAGGAACTAGCCAGGACCGGAGTGGGAGGTGCCCTCAGCACCTGCGTGTCTCCCACCCCAAGCACAGCCCCCAGTGCAGGCACAGGAAGGAGGGATGCTGGCTGGGGGTTGGCACAACCATCTCTCCCTCCCTTCTTCCCCTGGTCTAGTGGTACTAATTGGTCTGACACCTCTGTTATTTTAGTCACAGACTGATCCTGGATTGTCACAGTATCACCAGAGTGAGCTGTGTGATTTATGTAAGGGGGAAAGTGCCTCCCTACCCTGCTGGGCTGTAGGTTCATTCATCCTCCCATCCTGGCTTCTAACAGAAGCTGCATAATTTGCCGACTTCCTTGGGCCCCTCTCTGGCAGCAAGCAGCAGCTCTGAGAGCCCTGAGCTTGGACAAGGCTCCGAATAAACAAACCCTCTCTTCTTCCAGCACAACTTCCTCCCCTTCACCTTCAGCCCAAGCTGTTTTATCTAAGCCAGTCCCAGACCAAACACCGAGGACAACCAGCAGCAGCCCCAGTACAGAGCCACACAGGCATTAAAAATATGTTTATCTTTAATGATCCAAGATTTTGCAAGACACACATATACCCAGAACTGGGTGGAAATACAACATTTTAGCAGTGCTGCTGCCAACCTGGGGGTTGGGGAAGGGGGGGGGAGCACGAGAGCTGGGTACTGGCTGGAGACACACCCCCACCGCAGGGTGGAGCCAATTCCAACCTGACAGGGAGCCTCAGTGCCCTATCTCCATGGAAACCAGTCTAGCACTGGGAGGGGGCCCTAGGGAGCCTGTATGAACGTCTCTGGCGGGTATTTCCCATTAAAAACAACCACCAGTGCCATCCCTACCCAAAGCTACTGCCCAGCTTCCCCTCTTCCCCCTCAGCCAACACCACAGAATGGCAAAAGTGACTGTACCCCCTACGGGGAAGAAGGGAAGGGTAGCAAGGTGGCTGTGGCAAATGAAGTACCCTCTGTTGCAGTGGGACCACTGCTGCTGGGGCACAGAAAAAGGCAGGGCTTCGAGGGTGCTTCCTCCCCTTCTAGAGCTGCCCAAGATTTGGGTCAAAAGGGGATGGGGCCCAGGAAGGCTCTACCACCCCAGGAGGCAGTCACATCCACTACCACAGACAGTGCTACCTGCATCCTGGTGTGGTGTCAGGGGCGTGGCCACACACCTCCCTTCCCGGCCTGCGGGACTGTCAGAGGTCAAGGCTGAGAACTCCAGGGAAGACCAAGACAGGGTTGGGGGGACAAGACAAGAAAATCTTCTCCAACTTGGCATCAAAACAGAGCAAGTTCAAAGAAACAAAACCTTGATTTGTACAGCAGGTGCTCCTGGCCAGCTCCCGACAGTGGCCTCACCCACTAAGGGTTGGCCCAGTAAAAAGTTGGGCAAAGCTGGGGCATGGCCACCCTCAGGGCAGTCACAGAACTCAGAAAAGTGAGTCTACAGGATACAGGAGAGAACAGCAGAGCCAAAGCCCTGCTGCTCTGACACGTCCTCCGCAGCCCCACGTGCCCTGGACCCTGACCGCACACCACATAGGAGCAGCGTCTTTCAGGCTGAGTCCTCGCAGGGGAGACGGTTCCCAGGCAGGTCTCCAGGGAGGAAAGTCTGAAAGGTGTCCCAGAAGGAACATGTGAGTGTCCTCTGATGGCCCCCGACTGAGCTCTTCAGGGGAGATGGAGAGGAGACCATCCACCCCTCATGGCCAGGCTGTGCTCCCCTGTCCCTTTTGAGAGGGGCCCAGGTAGAGCACCCTAACTCTGAACAGCAGGGCGGTCAGTAGGAGTGGGCGTCCCCGGGCCCTCAGGCGCTGTGCGTCTGGATGAAGGAGAGGACATCCTCCTTGGATAGCTTGTCCGGGTCCTGGGGCTTCTGGGAGTCATGTACACGGATGCCATCCCCCCACTCCCAGAAGAGTCGGCCGTAGTAGCAGATGCTGGGAAGAAAGGAAATCAGAGGGCTGTAGCCAGAGATCAGGACCAAGAGATTACCACCCACCCCTGGCAACTGGTTTAGGGGATGAACTTAAGTGGGGAGGTCCCCACCCAGGACCCCAACCATCACAGCAGGTCATGGCATCACTATTAACGATGCCACTTGAGGGTCTTCCTTCTGGCAGCCAAAACCCCAGAAGGCTCCCACTCCGCCTCACTTCCTAGGAAACCACCTTTTCCCAATGAACAGCTGCTGCTGCTGTTGGCATCCATCGGAATGGCTGCTTAAACCTACAATCAACAACCTGGCAAATGGACACTGAGTCCTGACAAGGACAGTTGGGACCCGGAGTTACGAGAGGCAGGGCTGTGGGCACTCAGCGTGTTCGCACCACCAGGACAGTGTCAGCAAGTCAGGGAAGCAGTGGCTGCTCCATGGGGCAGGTGCCCTAAGTGGGATCCTTCCCGGAGCCCAGGACCCCCAACCATCCAGCAGGTCCTGGCATCCCTCTCCTCTGTGCTTACTGCCCAGGCCCAGCCACGCCCTGGAGAGGCCGCCCTCCACATCCCTGTAGAGAGGAGTCTGGTCCTTGCTCAGAGGAGCCCCTGCATGGGCAGCAGTTGGTCCTAGTACCTGGGCTGTGCCCCAAAGGACTGGCTAGCATCCTGGCAGGAGTGCGGGGGACTGCTGAGGGGCAGGCTACTTACTGAAATGGGGCAATGGCGTCTGCAGGGAGCTCAAAGGTAGAGCTCTTGGTTTTCTTGTTGTAGAAGAACTTCCTCTTAAAGCTTTTGCTGAATGCCATTGTCCACGGCTCTGAGGAAGAAGAGGAAGAGCCCAGGAAGGACACAGTAACCAAGGGGGAACAGGGCAAGCCAACGCAGGGGTGTGCCCTCCTTCACTGTTCTTCCTTCCCTCCCCAACGTGCAGGCAGAGACCAGCCTGTGAGGATGCAGCCCTCATCTCCAGCCTAAAGGGGCTCCAGAGGACGGCTAAGAGACTACCAGCCCACCCAGGCCTGCTAACCTACACCAGGGCAACATCTGTGGGACCCCAGCAGAGGGCCCTGAAGAAGGGGGTTCTACAGGGCATGCAAATGGCCAAGCCGGACCTTCTGGATCTGCCGCGGCCCTCCAAGAACACCCCCTTCCTGCCATGAGGACACCACGTGCATATAGGAGTTGGGCTCCTCTCTTCTCAGCCCAAACCTAACCCCAGGACCCACCATAGAACAGAAGCAGCTCAGGGCACACAATCCCCCCCGCCCCCCATGCACCTCAAAGAAATGCCAGCCTGGCTGCTACCCACATTCGTAGGGAACCCCTAGCTCTGGCATAGGCAGGACCTGGGCCAATCACCGAGGGAGGCGGGGACAGAAAACAGTCGCTCATCACCCACCGTTCACTGTCCTGACGATGTAGAGACCAGTGGGCACAAAGTGCCTGTCGTCCCGCCCTGTGTAGCTGAGCTTTGGGGTGCCGCTGGAGCCCTTGATGATCTTCATCTCCAACCTGGTTCCCAAGCAGGCATGCGGGCAGGAAATGGAGTGTGTGCATGAGAGAGAGGAAGCCCTAGCCATAGTTTCTTGCTATCATCAAAATCACACCAACCACAAGAGTTTATCTTAGTTCAACTAGGAAACTGAGGCAGAGACATGAGTGAATTGCTCCAGCCACACAAGTGAGTCCAGTGCTGGGTTCGGAGCTCAGGCTTAGGCGCTGAACTCACAACTAAGCAAAGGCAGGTGGGAAGGGACAGCTGCCCCCGATAGATTGCTGTTGCTGGAGTTTCAGGGTGACACCAGTAAGGATAAGATCTGACACCACGGTTGCCACTGGTCTACTGACTACCAGCCATAACATCACTGTGGCCAGTACAGAGTTAACGCGAGAGCACTGAGAGCCGAGGCTAGAGCAGGTGCACACCCAGGATGTGACCCACGGGTCTGAGCTATCCTTCCCCTCCCCACCCCGCCATCCCCTCCCCACCTTCCGAAACTAAAAATCCAAGGAAGCAGTTATGCCTCCCTCCCCTCCAGGCTCAATCTCTCTGTCAGCACCAGGAGCTGGGATTTA